CATTGGGAAAAATAACCCCAACTATACGTACAGTATGATGGGGGCTAATTTGGCTACGACAAATCAGGAAAGGGATCTTGGAGTTATCGTGGACAGTTCTCTGAAAACTTCCACGCAGTGTGCAGCGGCGGTCAAAAAGGCAAATAGGATGCTAGGAATTATTAGGAAAGGGATAGAAAATAGGACCCAGAATATCTTACTGCCCCTGTATAAAACTATGGTACGCCCCCATCTTGAATACTGTGTACAGATGTGGTCTCCTCACCTCAAAAAAGATATTTTGGCCTTGGAAAGGGTTCAGAAAAGGGCAACTAAAATGATTAGGGGTTTGGAACGGGTCCCATATGAAGAGAGGTTAAAACGACTGGGACTTTTCAGTTTAGAAAAGAGGAGACTGAGGGGGAATATGATAGAGGTCTATAAAATCATGAGTGGTGTGGAGAGGGCGAATAAAGAAAAGTTAATTATTAGTTCCCATAATAGAAGAACTAGAGGACACCAAATGAAATTAATGGGTAGCAGGTTTAAAACTAATAAAAGGGAGAGGGCTGATAAAGAAAAGTTATTTATTAGTTCCCTAAATAGAAGAACTAGAGGACACCAAATGAAATTAATGGGGAGCAGGTTTAAAACTCATAAAAGAAAGTTCTTCTTCACACAGCGTGTAGTCAACCTGTGGAACTCCTTGCCAGAGGAGGCTGTGAAGGCTAGGACTATAACAGAGTTTAAAGAGAAGCTAGATAATTTCATGGAGGTTAGGTCCATAAAAGGCTATTAGCCAGGGGATAGAAATGGTGTCCCTGGCCTCTGTTTGTCAGAGGCTGGAGAAGGATGGCAGGAGACAAATCACTTCATCATTGTCTTCGGTCCACCGACCCTCTTGGCCGACAGTGGCCAGCACCAGGTGCCCCAGACAGGCTACTGGGCTAGATGGACCTTTGGTCTGACCCAGTACGGCCGTTCTTATGTTTTTATGAATGTTTATTTTCAGACTGGGAATCTGCCATCAGGATTGGTGTCCTGGATTGCGGGGAGGAAGAAAACTATGAGATCTGTAAAGAATATGGTATTCTCTACTATCCAACTTTTAGGGTAAGTGGCATGATATACAGCATAAAAATACTTGGTTTAAATCTTAAACAGTTTCTATTGTTCCATGTTCCAAACTATAGCTGTTAAATGTCATACCTGTAGTTAAAAACAGCAAACTTATTTACCCAAAATGTTGTGCTCTTGTTCTGAGATCTGGGTGCTTTCTTTTTTCTTCTGCAAGGAGTCTTATGGTTATAATAAAAGATGCTTTCAGGCTCACTTTTTCCAATAGAATGGAATAGATGATGCAATCATCTGAATCAGCTCAGTTTGTCCTAAAATCTGAATTTCAATTTTTCAACCATAAGAGATGTGGCAGCAGGAAACTGTATATTATTAAAAGCATTTTTTGTGTCTCCCATCACTAAACTGAGGTTCCCATCTTGATACAATATATTTGTTAGCTGTCAAACATGCAGAGATCCATACTATAGTAAACAACATGGATAGAGTTAATATGTTTTGTCTCAGTTTTGAACTACTGTATTTACCCTCATGTCACAAACTGATACAGTCAAGTAGCTGACTCACAAGGGACTGTGATTTAGCTTTTTAACCTTTTGGAGCCATCCTTCACTTGACAGTTCACTTAACTTGAATTTAAAAATACTCTCTACTCTTTGCCAAGAGAATTAGGAATTGTGTTTAATTCAGAATTTTGTATTTAAGGATGAAAATGAACTGTTTTGCTATACTGTTGATCTTTCCTGCTGTGAGGAGTAGTACAGTAAACTTCTGATAATCCGGCATCTTTAGGACCCAGGGGGTGCCGGATTATCAAATATGCCAGACTATTGGGGGGGGGGGGGCTATGAGGGGTTTGGGGTGGAGTAGGGGGGATGTGCCCCATCGGTGCTGCAGGGCCAACCTGGTAGCACCCCAGCTGCTCTGCCCCAGGCGTCCCCAAGTCAGCCGCTGCTGAAACTGACCAGCGGTTGACTTGGGGACACCGGGGGCAGAGCAGCTCCAATTGTCCGGCTGCCCGGAGTACTTGCGGGTTCCAGATGGTGCCGGACCATCAGGAGTGCTGGACCATTGGATGCCGGACCACTGGAGTTTTACTGTAGTAGTAATATTTACCCCATATAAGATTAAAATGTGAGACTAGGGAGAATCTCTGTAAAAGGGTTGTTTTTTTGTATGTGACGAGATGTTACACTGTTACAAACATTTTGTTCTGGTGAGGAAAAAATAAAAGTCATTTTTTTTCTTCTGTCGTTGTGGGGCCAAAACCTGACTCATTTCTTCCCAAAGCACTCTAATTTTTAAAAAATAGGTAGAAGTTATGTTGCATTATGTGTCTTTTTTTAACCTCTAGAGGGTGATATGGATCTTTAGGGTGTGAGGGTTGTTGTTTAGCACAGAACCATAGAAATGTAGGGTTGGAAGGGACCTCAAGAAGTCATCTCATCCAGCTCTCCATGCTGAGTCAGGACTAAGTAAACTTAGACCATCCCTAACAGGTGTTTTTCCAACCTGTTAAAAACCTCCAGTGATGGGGATTCTGCAGCCTTCCTTGGTGAACTATTCCAGTACATATTTATCTTTATTGTTATAAAGTTTATCTTTATACCTAATCTAAAGCCCTTGCTGCAGATTGATTACTTGTTGTCCTATGTTCAGGTGACACAAAGAACACTTGATCACTATCCTAGCCATAATGACTCTTAGCATATTTGAAGACTTGGCATGTCCCCCCAGTCTTCTTTTAAGGAACGTGCTCAGGTTTTTTAAATCTTCCTTATAGGTCAGGTTTCTAAAATTCTTTATCATGTTTGTTGCTCTGGACTGTTTTCTTAAAATGTGGGGCTCAAAACCAGACACAGTATTACAGTTGAGGTAAAAAAAAAAGTCCTGATCTACTCAGCAATCACATCCTGTATCTTACACATAACAGTCCTGTTAGTACGCCCCCAGATATTAGCAACTGCACTGTTGACTCTCATTCATTTTGTGATCTGAGACGGAGCTGTGGTTTTCAGCAGAAGTGCTACTGCCTAACCAGTTCCCCATTTTATATTTGTGCACTTAATTTTTTCCTTTATAATTTGCATTTGTCTTTATTGACTTTCATTGTATTGATTTCAGACCAATTGTCCAATTTATCTATTTGTTAATAGTGTTGCTTAGTAAATCATCAATATGGGTATGTCTACACTACCCCGCTAGTTCGAACTAGCGGGGTAGTGTAGACATACCCCCAGTGCTAATGAAGCCCGGGATTTGAATTTCCCGGGCTTCATTAGCATAAGCGGGGAGTCGCCATTTTTAAATCCCCGCTGCTTCGAACCCCATGCAGCGCGGCTACACGGGGCTCGAACTAGGTAGTTCGGACTAGGGTGCCTATTCCGAACTACCG